CGACGTCCGGGGACACTGCGCCCTGCTGAAGTTCCCGCCCCCGCGGAGCCCCCTGCCCCTCCCTCCAGCCCGCTATTTGAAATCACACACACACACACACACACACACACACCACACACACACACACACACCCCTGCCCGCTCCGCACGTGGATGCAGAGGGGACGGTTCCCGCTCACCTGAGCAGACGCGCCAGTCCCCCCCGACGCTCGCACACTCGCGAAAGCCAGGGTAGGAGAGTGGGGGGCGGGGAGAGTTGTGTTCCCCCCCTTAAGCCAGGGGAGAGCGCTGGTGGGTAGATGAGGAGGGTGTCTCCCTGTGGGACTCTCACTCGGGCCCGCCCCCCACCCCCAGCCGAGGCGAGGACGCACCCCCACCCCCACCCCCGCCCGAGTCGCGCGCGCCGTGCTGGGTCGGGTTGGGGCTGCGGTGTGAATGGAGCGGCCGCAACTCCTGGCTCCTCCTCCTCCTCCGCTGCCGGCCCCTCTTATTTGAGCTTGGGGAAGCTGAGGGCAGCCAGGCAGCCGGGGTAAAGGAGTTCAGGGCAGCGCCCACACCCGGGGTCTCCGCCACCCGACCGCCTGTCGGCTCCCCCCCGCCCTTCCCACCCAGCCTCCCACTCATTCCCCCACGCACTCACCCAGAGCCCGGACGGCAGCCGAGGCGCCGGGGGCCCCCCGCTGCCTCCTCGCCGCGATCCTGGACTTCCTCCTGCCGCTGGAGCCCGCTGCTTCCACGTGTGCCTCGGAGCCGGCGTCTTCACCGACGTGCCGCTCCGGGCCTGGCTGCCTCCCGCAGCCCGAGCAGCCGGGACTCCGCGGCCCGGGAAGCATCTGGGCCAAGTTAGGAGCCATCGAGCCGAGCGTCGAGCGTCTGCCGGGTCGGAGGAGCCGAGGGCCGTCCGAGGCTGAGTCGCAGCAGATGGGCTCCGACGTGCGGGACCTGAACGCGCTGCTGCCCGCGGTCCCCTCGCTGGGGGGCGGCGGCGGCTGCGCCCTGCCCGTGAGCGGCGCCGCGCAGTGGGCGCCGGTGCTGGACTTTGCGCCTCCCGGCGCCTCGGCTTACGGTTCTCTGGGCGCCCCTGCGCCACCGCCCGCTCCGCCGCCACCCCCGCCGCCGCCGCCGCCTCACTCCTTCATCAAACAGGAGCCGAGCTGGGGCGGCGCGGAGCCGCACGAGGAGCAGTGCTTGAGCGCCTTCACCGTCCACTTCTCGGGCCAGTTCACCGGTACGGCTGGAGCTTGTCGCTACGGACCCTTCGGTCCTCCCCCGCCCAGTCAGGCGTCCTCCGGCCAGGCCAGGATGTTCCCCAATGCGCCCTATCTGCCCAGCTGCCTGGAGAGCCAGCCCGCTATTCGCAACCAGGGTAAGCAGACCAGGGAGCGCCCCCTACGCGCCGGGCGGTGGCACCCGGGTGGGTGCCGTGCGCCGGCTCGCCCCGTCCTATTCCGTCCGCACCCCAGCTTTGACCCGGCTGCCTCCCCTGGGGCTGTGAGGGTAGCGGAAGCGGCAGCCGGGGGCGCGGAGTCCCTAGGGAGGTGGGGTGGGGACGCTCGGACCAGGGCTTCTGACATCCTCCAGAGCCCGAAGCTCTCCTGTTCGTTAAAGCCGGGAGGTCGTCTGGGGCCCAGGCAAGAGTCCGGGCCTGAGAGATCCCCGTGGGAGTGGAATTGGGGAGCCGGTGCAGTGTCCAACAGTGCCTGGGGCGGAAGTTTTGTCGCCCAAAGCTTTTTTCTCCCACGCAGAATGTTCCCCAGGAATTAGACTTTTTGGACATTTAGAGAGGATTGGGTGGTGGACCGGCACAGGCCTAGCATTTACTGCTGCACCCAAACGTCCTGAAGTCGCTTCTGGCTTTGCTGGCGTGTTGGCGCGCCGTAGACGCACGGTTAGCATCTTGGCTCACTGACAAACGAGAGCACGAACAGGTCAGCAACGAAGTTGCTTTCGGGCAACTGTGTTGGTGTCTGAACTTGGCTCTCATCTTTGGTGGAGTAAATCGCATCTTCTGGGTTCCAGTTCGGGCTGTGGCCTTGCGGGCATGAGGGGAGCTGGCGCACCCGGTTTATGCGAGTGCAAGTCTCCCAGAGGGTGTGCCGCATTGAGTACCGGCCACCCTTTCAGGGTACCTCCTTAGAAGCGGGGTTCAAGTAGGGACGATTTCTTTTGGCACGCTCTGGGGATTAGGGTTAGGATCAAGGATGGGCAGGTCGTGTTCTGTCGGTCTAGGGACACAATCTTCTCACCCTGAGCTGGCCCCAGGCTCACCTCTCTTTACTCAGGGACCAGAGCTGAACCAACCCAGCCTAGCAGCTGTCCTTTGGTTTCTAAATTTATTCTAATTGGACATCTGGGTGTGGAGAACCTAACCAGATCGGTTTGGTGCGGTATTTTTGGAAATGCTAACAAACCAATGGTGGATGTTTTCCTGGAACAACAGTTCCCACTGGCCTAGTGACTAGTATGTTTCTGGAATGCATGCTTCTGGAAGCAGAAGGTCTTGGGACCTCCGAAAGCAGGGAAGACAGGACCTTCCTTCTGCTGGTCCACCGCCCCCAGTCCTTCCAGTAGTTGTCCTCCCCATCTATCTGAAAGCGTATCTCCAGATCATCCTTATCCCAGTCCAACCTGCCTCCTCCCCGCAGCCCCAGATGAAATCGAAACTGCCGGCTACTCTTCCCTGGATTCCAGAAACCTCCTCTGGTGGAAGAACCGCAAAACTGACCCTAGGGATCCCTCCACTTTAGGTCTTCCCTAAACTAAGCGAATGTTTCCTCTGTCTGGGATTGTTGGAACAGTTCATCTGCCATCCCAGACGCTTATTGCTTCCCTAACCATGCCTTCTCTGTAAAGGAGACTTGTGTGACCTGTGACCTCCTGCCAGTCTCCAGGCCTATTTTCCCAGCTGAGAGGACCTGAGATGAGCAACCTGGAGTGTGGGTCCTCCTGGCAACTCTGTTGCCAAAGAAGTAGAAGTTCACTGTTCCTCTGCTTGGTTTCAAAGTACAGCAGGCAACTGCCCACAGTTACTTAGCTGGTCGGCAGGTGTGAGATGAGTCTGTGTGAACGTGTTAAGCAGGAGATGGTATTTAGTCTAATCCTTGATGTGCACAAAAGGCCTAGCCATCATCATTCCTTTTGATTTCATCCAGGTGCTCTGGGTCCCCCCACACTTCTAACTTTTGTTTTGAGCCTCAGTGCCCAGCCTGGGAAAGGCAGGCCTAGTTGCCCAGCATCCCATCTACCTAGCTTGGGGGACCAAGACTTGGCTCTTTGTTCACAGTGGTGCTACGCTGAAGGCAAAAACTGCATAGCCCAGTGGCGTTATCAAAAAGAAAAAGGAAACTGGGGTGGGTGGAGCAGGACTAACAAGTAAAGTCTCCCCTTTCTTAGAGTGAGGGGTGATGAAGAAAGGAGAATCAGTACCTTGCTACTGGTCTACCCTCTTAGGTTTTCCTCAAAAATTAGCATAAAAATGGAACAAGCCTGCAGGAAGAAAGGAAATCCCTGGGAAGCTGGGGTGGGCTGTCACCTACTGCTTCCCTCAGCCCAGCATTGGCAAAGGGTGGGTACTGAGGCTCGGAAACTAAAGACTTATTCTTCTGATTTCCAGGACTCTTAAGAGTTCCCCTAGAAATGCAGAGCCCGGCCCAAGTCTTAGGTTGGGGGAAGCAAGAACATCAGCTCCATCCCTAAACTCTGGGACCTGCTGAGATCAAATCCAGCACCTAGGAACCACATGTTGGGTGTCAGGGGACTCCTTCACTGTCACCCCAGGCTTTACACCTTATTTTGTTAAGACTAGAGGAAAGAACTACACCCAAATCTTCTAAACATTCTTTCAACAAACATATAGTGATCACCTTCTCTTTGCCAGCCTCTGGAGGTTGATTATTAAGACATTAATGAGCATCAGCTATGAAAGAAATGCACTGCCCAAGATCAGCAGGAAATCAAAGCATTTCAGAGGCTCTCTGGCTGTGACAAAGTTGGGATTCGAATCCAGAATGACTGTTGCTACCTGCTAGGGATTTTAGCCTCCCTTTGGGAATGAGTTCCTCTGGCTAGCTGGCTGGCTGTGGACACTGAATCTCTTGTACTTTCGTTTGAGGGTTGAGGAGGGTTGCCACGGCAGAAGAGGAAGCGATAAATTGGGTATCCGCAGACTACCCAAGTAAATGCGGGGTTTGGGAAGAAGAAAAAAGAATGACTTGTCAAGATGACTTGTCAGCCTTTGCTTCCCCTGCCCTCATGACAGTCAGAACTTTGGAGCAGGACGAGGCCTTGATATCACTAAGCCCCTCCAGGGTCAGGTGGGGAGACCAACTTGGCAAAAGACCAAGGGCAGCCCCATTCCTTGGGTGGCTTTGGAGAGGGTATCTCTTGGGGGTGGGGGTGGGGGGTAGGGAGGAAGATACACTGTTCTTCAGCCGCTACAGCGGAATCAACATTTTCAATGTGGACCACCTTCCGGACTGAGGCTGCAGTCCACTCCACCCCTTAAGCTCCCTGGAGACCCGCCTGGGCCAGGCGGTTCCCGTGCTGCGTTTCCGCGGGCGGAAGAAGGAGCCGCAGAACGTGTCTCGCCTCTGGTGCGGTCAAGGTTGCACTCCCTTCCCCGGCTTAGACTAAGCGTGGGAAAGACGCTACCTTGGCCGCTAGAGCCGCCCCCAGTAAGGCCGGTATACAAGGAGCCTTTGAACAAGCTGCCCCTCTCGGCTCGCAGCTGTTCCTCCCCCGCAGCCCGCCTGGCCTAGCGCAGGGCCCGAGGAGCGCGCGCTCTAATCAGCCCCGCGGCCGATAAGCTCCTAATTAAAAGAAACCCTCCCTCCGCCTGCGCTTTCACCACTGCCCCTCCCGGGACTGCGCAGCCCGGGCCACCGGAGTCTGCGTGTCCTGGCAAGGAGTGGGACAGGGAGCTGCTGAACGCACCCACAAAGTTGGGGCGCATCTCCAGGAACAGCAAGGGGCCACAGCTGGCTCACAAGGAGCCGGGCGGGAATGGAGAAGGGTTCCTTTATAGACAAACCATTTATTTGTCGTTTCTTGCTATTCTCTCCCACCCCGTTTTGAAAAGGGGGAAAAGAGCCCTTTTGAAATTAGGTCTTGTCTCTGCAAAAATAGGTGCTCACGACCAAATTTCGTTTGCAAACTGGTGGGTAGGTGCAGCCGGGAGGGGCGTCTGCCCTGAGAAGCCGAACTTGTTCACTTGCAGGAAAGCCAATCGGAGGGTAGGGGTTATCTCGCCCACTTAGCAGGCGAGAAATGCAAGCCTGGGGGTGGGGGAGAGGGGGGTCATGTCAAGTCCCGAGGGACTGATGGCTTTCTAAATCGTCAACCTGCAGAGCTGGGCAATGCATGAGAAGACAGGGTCTTCTCAATATAGTCCCGCAATTGTTACCCAGCACATACACCGTGCTGCCCTGGTGTGCAGAGGGAATCTGCACTGGGTTGAGGTGCTTTTTAAAATTGTTTGTTTTTGTTTTGGAGGCGTGGTGGTTTTAGAGATGGAAGGTCTTATCCAACAGAAACCCCCTGCACACTTGTTGCAAAGTGCAAATCCAACCTAGTGTGTACGGGGGGAGCACATTTGATTTGTCCTATTCCTGAAGATTGAGGGGGCCTTTAGACACCCAGTGCAGTGGTGGGGTTTTGGCCTACGCGGGGACTTTGCAGGGAGTCGCAGGGAGTCGTTAGATGTGAGCATAAGGGTGCAGATCTTTTTCACCTCTTGAACTTGAGGTCAGAGCTTCCCCAAGAGCCTGTGTGTAGAAGGGATGCCCCCCTACCTCTGTACTGGCTTCCCACGACTCATCCTTTGGTAGCCTGAAAGGGGAGGAGGACTTTTCCTTGGGGTCACAGTTTTCCAGAATCCAGTAGAGGTGGGTACACGCTTAAAGCAATGTAAACCCCTATAATCATAGTTTTCCTCCACGGCTGGCTGTGCCGCATCCACCTCCGCTCCACTGCTGAGTTGGGAAAGAGCACCAGCGATACTACCCGGGGGTTCTCGGCAGGGAAACTGAGGCAGAGGGCCTTGCATCGAGAGAAAGGGGCGGGGAACAGTTCTGGGTACACTGCCAAAGAAACAGCCTTCCCAGCCCAAGCCAGGAGGAAGTTACCCCCACCGCAGCGGTCAGAGTTGATGCGCTGGGTGCGAGGTGGGTCGATATGGGGGAGGAGAAGGGTCGCGGCTCCGGGCCCAACCGGAAGGGCTCCCCCCATTTTTTCCCTTTCCCGAGGGTCTTGGGTGTCGTGGTGTCGAGTCGCGCCGCCTCAGACAGATAGCATTACTGGGTAATTACTCTCCCCATTTCAAGCCCATGCCCTTTAACTGGCTCGGAGTAATTAATGAAAGTTGGTGCGCGGGCCCCTGATTTACGGCTGCGAGTCAGCTCGGGGTCAGCCGAGCAGATTCATTTCGCTCAGCCGCGCTGCCCGGGCGCGAGAGCCGCGGGGTTTGTTTTGGGGGCAGAGGAACTTTCTCCACCCCGCGGCGGCTGCCGGTGTTCATCCTCCACTGGCCCAGGGCTTCGGAGCAGCAGCGGCGGCAGAGGCTGGGAAACAGGGACGTAAATAACTTGGGGAACGATGGGGAGGTGAGAGTTTACCGGGGAAAGGGTGGGGAGCCTGTCCGGAGTGTCCGGAGGTCACCCCGTCAGGGGCTTGGGCCCTGGCCTCCTTGCCAACATCCTGGCAGCGGTCAGAGCAGGATAACGATGGGCTCCAGGGGACCAGAAGGCTGGGGCCCTGCACGCTCCTACCTGGTTCCTGATTCTGATCCTCTTTTCCTGTCTCCCTTCTGATCCTCTCTCTCTCTCTCTCTCTCTCTCTCTCTCTCTCTCTCTCTCTCTCTCTCTCTCTCTCTCTCTCTCTCTCTCCACCCTCAGGATACAGCACGGTCACCTTCGATGGGACTCCCAGCTATGGCCACACGCCCTCGCACCATGCGGCACAGTTCCCCAACCACTCCTTCAAGCACGAAGACCCCATGAGTCAGCAGGGCTCTCTGGGTGAGCAGGCGGACCAACGTAGGGGCCCTTCTCCCCTTCTTCCACATTTCCTAGTCACCTGAGGGATTTCCAGCCCACTTCAAATTGGGGAGAGGAGAAGAAAGAGCGGGGGAGGATTAAAACTAATTTGCCCAAAGGGGCACAGAGGTCGTATAGCTATTAGGGCCCTTGCCTTGCAGTGGCCAAGCCGGGTTCCATCTCTGGAATTATCCCATACGCGCCCCTGAGCGCAGAGCTCCGAGTCCTGAGCGCCGGAGCTGCGGTCCTCAAACCAAAAAGAAAAAAAGAAACAATTTGCTCGAGATCTCTTGGTTTTAAAGATTGCCTCCCTTCCTTTTGCCCCAAGAACATATTCAGGAACTTGGCCGCGTCTACGAGAACCCTAGGGTCTTTTTCTAGCGGTGCTGGGCGGGGGCTGCCGAAGGCCAATAAAGGAAGAAAGAAGCTTGTCTCGCTGATAGTGTCCGGACCCACTTTCTACATGGCGTCCAGGCCCCTCTGCCCCCGCAGCGCGACGCGAGCCCGCTGCTCCCGGGCCCTGCTCTCCACTCCAGACAGTGGCCTCGCACCCTGGAGCTAGGGCGGTGCTCACGCGAGCTCTCCCCGACTCTCGGCAGGTGAACAGCAGTACTCGGTGCCGCCCCCAGTCTACGGCTGCCACACGCCCACCGACAGCTGCACCGGCAGCCAGGCCCTGCTGCTGAGGACGCCCTATAGCAGGTAGGAAGGCGCTGGGCGCGCGCGCGGGACTCCCGGGGCGGTGCTCGAACGTCCGACGCGGGGCCGCAGGCGCACGGAGTCCTGGAGGCAAAGGATTCCATTTGCGCTTTGCTGCTGCGGAAAACAAATGAACGCCCCTCTCTCGGTACCTGAGCTCGCTTTTGCCCCCGACGTCACGTGTCTTATTTTGAATATAAAAAGAGGACGAGGAACCGTTTGCAGCCGTAGAGGAAAGGATTGTAGGAGCCGCGGGAGTGGGATGGGGGGCTTGAGCTAGATTAATCTCGGGTTCCACAGTCTGTGGATTCTTCTTACCGCTAAAAGCCCTCCCCTCCCTCTGACATCCCGGGCCACTTCGAGGGCACGAACACTCGGGTGCAGCCTTCTCGTCACTCCTGCCCAGTGCTGCAGCAACGTTCTGTGGGCGTCGTTTTCTGCGCGCGGCCACACACAGGGTGCACCTCACCCTGCAGCGGGCTGCGCGCTGCGGAGGCATCGGGGTGCAGCGATACCCCACGGGGAGATCGCTCCAGCCCGGCCTAATCCCTTTTTCCTGTTCCCGGAAAGCGGAAAACCAGCTTCTTTTTTTTTCCTTTTTTGTTTCCAGGCTCTTTTATTTATTTTTCTCTCTGCCCCCGTGCGCCCTTTCTCGGCTCTCGCTCCATCCCCCCCACCTTCTCTTCCCCCAAATTTATTCTTCAACTTTGGGTGAACTTGGCCAGCATCCCGCGTCTCCGATAGGGTTGCTTAGTAACCGGCTTGCACACCGGCCCGCGCCGGGCGGGAGGTGGGGCGGGGGCAGGGAAGCCGGCCCTGGGGGCCCCGGATTGGGCGCGCATGACCTCATCGCCCCTCACCCCCACCCCCGGTGCTGCGAGGATCCTGATACCGACTGCCCCCAAACTCATCCCCTGCCGCCCTCCCCTCCTCGCGAGGACCCGGGGCTGACGTCAAGGGAAGGAGGTAGTGAGGTAATGAAGGAAGGAAAAGCGCCTGCCCGGGGAGATTGGGTGGGGGAGCCAGTGCGCCTGGGAGACCTCTGGGCCCGCAGGTGGAGGAGGGGACGCAGCTCCTGAGATGCATCCTCAACCCGGGAGCGCGAGCCTTATTGCAGCAGGGGATCCGACTAGGCTGCGGCTTCCGGGGGGGCCCCGGGGTACTTGTGCCGTGCCCTTTGTCCTTCTCTATGCCTGAGGCTCGCGCAGACTTTGTGGAAAAACATCTGAAAACCCTAATCTAATGAAAACGTTCGCCTCCTCTCCACCGCTCCTTTTAGTGGAGAATTGTTAAGAAATGCACACCGGTTGCACAGATCGCGTGGAAGCGATCAGGCGTGCCCACTCTCCTTTCCTTATTAGCTTTGCCCCCACTGACCCAGAGTTCTACCTCCAGCCTGCCCACCCTGGGCAGTCACTGGAAGTCACTGGAATGTGTGGGCCCTGGGAAATAATTTCAGAGGCCTTGAATTATGCTTTGCATGCAGGAGAGCCTGTTCCATCCCTGGCACCTAGTAGTTCCTTAGCACCTCTGGGGGGACCCCCAGCACTGAGGCAGGAATAGCTCCTTTCACACTCACTGGATTGGGTGCAGAATTCACCACCCGAAGGCCACGTCACAGTGACTCTGCTTTCCGAGCAGATCTGTGGCAGCTGAGTCAACCCTTGCCTTCTCAGGGAGCAGTCAGTGCTAGTAGAAAGGTACCCCCCTGTGGTGAGTTTGGCCCACTCCTTCCTCCATTCCTGCTCTGGCACCCCAGGAAAGCCTGAGCAGGAATGGATGTTATTGATGTGGGTCTGGATAGCCCTTTGGGGTAGTCAGGAGGAGGAGGAGGAGGAGGAGGAGGAGGAGGAGGAGTCTGGTACTGCAGAGATTGGCAGACATGCTCTTGTCTCCCTCTCCCAGTCATTGGGGCTCAGTAGGAAGGAGGCATGGAAGAGTCTGCAGTAAGGAAGGAGAAATAAAGTGTTTCTGACCATCAATACCTTAATAACTCTTCTCCCCACCAAGCTCATCTGTGTCTCTCATGGGGCTAGATTCAGTGTTTACTGTGGAAGCAGGAAAAATTGGTTGTGTTTTTACAAACTTTGTAATCTGTCTTCTAGTTGAATACAGCAATATTGTCAGGATCACCTTCCAGAAACAATTGTTATCCTTGCTTTTTTTCTCTCTACCTATTGCAACTTTTGTTGGTGCTCATTTTTATTTGAAAGTCAGGGGCGGGGAATGCCCTCACCCCTCTCTACAAAACATTTTCCAAACAGTTCTATCTTCTCCAAAAGAATTTGTGACCCTTATAGGAAGTTTTCTCCTCATCCCCACCCCAATTTGTGATCTATGGGGCCTTGAAAAGTTCACCTATCTTAAATTTACAATTCTTCTAATCACATTTTTGGGGAGCGTTGTTTTGGGACCACTTCTGGCAATGTTCAAAGCTTACTCCTGACTCTTTTCTCAGAAATAACTCTTAGCGGGCTTAGGGGACCTTATGGGGTACCGGAATCGAACCCAGGTCAGCTGGGTAAATAGCAAGTGCCCTACCCTGGTGTACTATCTCTCCAGTTCCTCTAAGCATATTTTCAAAGGCCAGATGCTGGATAGGTAAAGGATGTTTTAAACTGAGATAGTCATCAGTATGACTGCCCTTATGTTATTTTCTTTGATTCTGAAAGGAATTTTTGAAGCTTTTGTGAATGAAATGTAAGAAAAAAAATCAAGAATTAGGACTAGACTAGAATCAACTCATGGCTTAACCTCGGAATTTCAGCTATATAGTCATGCTTCTACTTTCCCTTTTGTGTGTGTGTGTGTCCAAAATTAGGAACACTGAGAAAGACGTTCCTGTGCTGAGTTTGCCTTGTTGAATCCTGCCAGGTCACTTTCCCACTACTCTCCCAAATCTCCTGCCTCCCCAGTCTTGGATCTAATCTCCCTTCCTAGCTCAGCTCAAAGGTAGAGTTGGCACACTCTGTGAGTTTGCTGGGAGGAAATTCTCTTGTTCAGAGAATCGCACAATTCTCTCCTCTATCCTAAGTAACACAGCTAGGGAACTAAAGTCATGTACATTTGCATGTGATATGGGCAGGAGTGTGTAGAGACTGTCCCAATAAGCTTATTGGAGGTATTAAGGGTTAGTTTTGCCCACCCTTCATACCCCATATAGTTGAAGGTATAGGTAGTTTTGTCTGTAGGTCACTAAGGCTTCTGAAACCAGATGTGGAATCCTGCCTTATGGAACCCCGTGATGAGAGCAGGAACACAGCAAGGGCTCCTGTAATAGCATAACTCAGTTTTATTGCATGCACACCACATTTATTGCAGGTTGAGCCCTGCACTAAGTGTCTCTTTGAGCATTAATTCTAGCTCTTAACTGTTCTAAAAAGTAGATATTTTAATCTCAGCTTTATTGAACAAGAAATACGTTCAGAAACTCCAAGTAATTGGTTCAAGTCACACAGACCTGAGAATCAGAACCAGCATGCGATCTCATCTTTTTGACATAAGAGTCCGTCTGTGCTCTGACCGGCAGGTTCCTGGCTACTCATTGTCCTCTATCTGAAATATCTTTCACACAGCCCATGCCAGTGTTCAGTTGATCAATAATAAAATGCTTTTGTGGGATCACTTCACGCCAGACATCACTCTCGGTACTAACTGATTAAATAGCCTTATTTAATCCCAAGAAGGACTCTTTGATATACACAGAATTAACACCTCCACTTAACAGAGGGGAAAAGTGAGGTTTTGAGAGGTAAACTTGCCCATGGGACATGGTAGGGACAGAACTGGTGTTCAAATTTAGGTAGCAAAGCTCCGGAATCCATCTTGCTACCCACTGCACCCTGATGCAGTACGTAAATTCCCTTCTCTTTCCCAAGGTGGCATTGACCTAAGTCTCAATAGAGAAAAGCCTTTCTTTCCCGTGGGTGTGAGTGAATCCCCATTCTTCATTATTTTACTCTTAGTTTTCCAGAAAGCAGTAGTGTTTGTCCTAGTGACTTGTCTTATCTAAGCTCTCTCCCCAAGTCTTAATCACAAGACACAGTCTTTCAGAGTTCCATCTTATTTGGCTTCTCCTCTGGATTTGAACTACTGCAGTGAGGTTTAATCTGGGCAGGGTCAACCCCCTGCTCCTTGTACATCCAATTCTAGGAAAAATGACTGATTCCAGGGCCACCTTGGTTTGTACTTATTCTGAGGCATAGTCCCAGGGAAGGGAGGTTTTGGAGGAGAGAATAGTGAAGGTCCCCTCACTAAGCATGTTTCCCCCTGATTTCTGCCTCAAACAGGCAGCTACTGGGGCCTCTTGACTTCCCTCTCTTCCACAGGCTTCTCTGCTCCATTGTTTGCTTATCTCCTTGGAACCTCCAGCCCCCTCCTGGACCCTTTTCACAAGTTGATTCTCCCAGCTATTTTGTGCTGTGTTTAAAAAAAGACTTCCTGGGACAATTCTGCTTTTGTAGACAGTCTAGTATTTTCTCCTTTGCTTTGTTATTTTATTGGGATTACATATTATTACTTCTTTGTACCATATCCCTCTCATATGTTATTTTATTAGGTGTGCATATTCTTATTTTGTTTGCTCTTGGGCCACACCAAGCTGTACTCCTGGCTCTATGCTCAGGAATCTCTCCTGGTAGTGCTCAGGGGACCATATGTGGTGTGGGATTTGAACAAGGACCAGCTGCACAGGAGGCAAGAGCTTATCCCTGTAGCATCTCGTTCTTGGCACCTGGTTTGCATACTCTTCTTTAGCAACTGTGCTACCAATTTAAGTGAGGATTGTTGCCTTTTGCCCTTCAGCAGGTAAAATAACTTCAATTTGAAAAGCAGTTGCTACTGATTTGGATATCTTCAAGTGAATGTGGATGTTTCCCAAGTGGAAAAGTTAAAGGTGGAGTTTCTTTCAAGTGGATTGTCTCTCCCATGAGAGAAACTTTCTTTGCATCCTGAATATTGTGAGGAACTGGACTCAGTGGGAAGCGCCTGTTCCACCCTTTAGG